GACCAGTGGTTATGCTCATTGTAAAGGAATAGCGGTCATCGTCACTGTGGACGACCAGCGGTCATGCTGGTTATCAAAATGGGGTTACTTCAAACACAGGGAATGGATAGCGGGAGGCGAACTACGTAGTAGAAACTGAGATACAGATAGGGATAAGCGTAGTTCTAGCTCTTAAAAGGTTAGCTACAAAAACTTTTGATTTTCCTACAAAAGAAACGCGTCAGCATCCCTCCGGGCTGGAAAGCTAGTGGCCACCCGGCGTTCAATATTTACTGCTCACGCGTTTGTTCAAGGTTTTCCTCCAGATTGCTTGGCTAAGGACAAGAGTAATTATTTAAGTTTGCCCGAGATCGGACGCGACAAGCATGTAAAGGCAAGGTGCTCAGATGGATCAAATGATCAGAAGAACAAGGGGGTCAAGTATTCACGTTTGAGCAAGGCGACCTCAAGAAAGGTCAAGGTGAATCAACTAGAGCGCTAGAAGCAACCGTTGGTCGTGTGAATTATTTCCACGTGACCACACTCACACCTATCCTCAACTCGGTAAAGGTAGACATCGACCTTAAACCACCTAAAAGAGTGCAAACTTCCGCCGACAGGTACACAAAATGTGAAGGAAAAAAATACAAGACAAACTGTTCAGAATAACCCCTCCTTTATTCAGTTCTCCGGGCGCCAGTGGAAAGTTGGGATCACTTCTCAAAATGAGCGAATTTCACTCCACCACAGCGGTGTGTCATCTCGCGAAACATCGATCTCGGTCTGGGCCTTCTATTTTTGTGTGGCATTTGCGAATTGGCGAGTAAACGTTTAAAGGGTTTTTGTTGCGTTCCATAATAGGCCGCCGCACCCGCGATATAGTTTTCGTAGTTCACTGTGCAAGCCCCCAACGTCTTCATAGAGAGAGGTAGAACCGCCAGTAATTGTAGTGTCGGTGCAATGCTGTTCAAGTGCCTGGGCATTAGCCTTAAAGTAGCATACTTTCTAAAAATCTGCCGCGCGCAGATCTTCCGCTGCTGTCTTAGCAAGTTCTTTGATATTTTTTTAGATCCCATACTTGTGATCGGATCGCCTTAAGCGCCGTTATTTTTAATGTCTTCAAACATAGCGACGAAATGAATCCCGGGCAGTTGTTGGAGTTGTTGCAGCAAACTCATGATCAACTCATAGTAGTTGATCAAGCTCACGAAACTTCTGCGTGCGCTGAGTGTTTGCCTCGGAGGGAGCGGTGGGATTTGGCACGGAATAAATTGCGATCAAATTGCCTTCAGGACAAACTTGAGACCTTGATCGTGTACGGTGGTTTCCTGTTCTTTGCGTTAGTTTTCTTTAAGGTGTGCAGGGAAATGCCTATGACTTTGGGAATGACTTTCTTGAACCTTCAACCTTGTTGGACTGTGGGTCCTTCAGTAACTTCATAGCAGATCCCATCGCTGGACTAGACGAAGCCCCTGAGAGATGCATATGCCGCTTTATATTTTTCGCGCCAGGATCAAATCACTCGTTCTTTGGTGGAGTACTGATGCAAGTAGCGCCGTTACGAGCTGCCTGGCTGCCAGCGAGAAGAGCCGCGATGGGATCGCCCGATTGCCCAGAAAGAATAGGTGTCGGCGGGACCGTACATAACAGAGGGAACTTGTAGCCATCGACCTTCAGCTTCGCCGTGGTTGCCATGGAAGTATTCACCAGTCCGGAGACATGATGCATTCGACCCGCAGCGTTTAAGTGGCTAAAGGTCAACACAGGAAATTATAAGGATCAATGGGCCAATCGGTGAACTCGCAATGATGCTGAACGTGAAATGCCACGTTTTGCTAGCCGCGCTTGGCACTCGAGTGATACGGCGAGTAGCAGGTAAAACAGGAAACGCGTTAAATGTGCCAAAATTGTGGAGGAAGATCTCCGTGCTGGAGGTAGAGATGTGCGTTGCCAGCTTAATTTGTTCGGAATGTGACAACGTGTCAAAAGTTGCCACGAAAAAGTTGGTATCATTTACCTCCGATCCATGTGAGCACTAAAGACACGGATGTGAATACACATGACACATTGGAATCTAAAATAGCTTAAACAGTGTTAGTCGCTACTCTATTGACTGAAACCGGACTCAAATTTGCAAATGGTGTCGACTGGCTAACTTAATTTGTAGTTCTGGAGCGGTAGTGTCGTCGCGCTCTATAGTAGTCAACGCAAAAAGCCAAATACGCTTAACCCGAAGCAGAATTGTCTTCGCAAGTCATCTCGCTGAAGCCTCTTGATCCAGCATAATCAGTGTCATTCGCCTCGTCTCGGCGTCGTCACTGGTCCGCTTAGCACAATTGACCCGTTCACGACCCAAGATATTGGACTCCGTCTCACATCACAGTGCGTTCCAAGATTTGGATAAGCAATGTTTTCTCAGCTATGTACAGATGCATACTCACATAAAGATGTACAATCGTAATCAATTTCATTTCCTGATACGTTTGGAAGCAGTTATGGCATCAAAGCTAAGCCGATTACAACTACAAAGAATCCAAGAGAACGCTATATGTGAAAGAGTTCACTTAGAGCTCATGAACACTTTTCGCTGCTACGAGGGCGTTGACTAGAAAAAGACTATTTCCCGCTGCGTTTGCTGTATGTGCCAGTGTCAATAGCATTTTTTAATGCGTCACCATTTTAGGTACTTTTTAGCCAAGACATGATCACCCGGCATCTTTACTAGGCCAATTAGAGCTATCACTCCAAGCGTCGTTTCGAGGCAATTTTCTCCGACAACGATCGTGAAAAATCGCAAAAGATTGGAACGTATCTACCAGGTCGGCTATCACGTCATCCTCAGTGTGTTTAAACACTTTCGAACTACAACTCGTGCAGTTTCCAGTGGCGATTATGCTATCTAGACCGTCCCCAAGAATGGAGTGAGTGAGTGAGCTTCATTGAGGTACTTATAAGATCTCTAATGGCTAGGATGGGGGTTTACACCGCCAAGCTATGAAAAAAACAGGGGCTATACAGCTACCCTCCGACCGTAGGAAGCAACCGCCGAAAGAGCAGAAATACTTGGACCCGGGGTATGTGTTGGAGGAAATGCCTGCCACTCGTGCACGTCAGTGCGGAGAAACCGTTGCACTCTTGCAATCAGTGGTCGATTGTCAGTAGCGCACGTTTGCTGTGACGTTTTGGAGTCCATCGCAATATTCGCAGCCAAGTCTGCCATTTTGTTGTTCGCGCGGTAGTGATGAGACCACCCGCAGATTCCTAGGCTATCCGCACATCTTCTCGCCTTGAGATAAAGTTGTCGGAGTCGGGGCTGACGCGGAGGCCGATGCCGCCGCATTTGCTGGATAATTAAAGAGCTGTCACCGACCACGTACAATGGTGTGAGATGTCTAGTTTCAGCGTGACGGAGGCCATGAATAAGCCCCGAATATTCCGCCATGTTGTTGGTTGTGCTGTTATGCGCATATGACATGCTCGCCGCCCAGGTAATCTCTGATGCTCGCGTGTCCAGATCAACACAGACCATGACCGAACCGGATCCGGCTGGACCGGGATTACCACACGAGCCGCCATAAAAAAAGCACATAGGCGCTCCGGTCTCGAATCGGTGGCGAGATAATCGTCCCGTCAATTGTCCCCTTGAGACGATCAGCCAGCGCCCTGGTAGCGGCATTCTTCGGAAGTTTTGAAATATCCGTGTCGAATTTATAACTCAATGAAACCAAATCGCGCAAGGCATTGTCTACTGTAACGCAAATTACCGCCCGCAATGTCGATTGAAGCGCATCTGGCTCGTGGCGCGTCCCCAAGAATGGAACTGTGAATACCGACAAGGGCGTGTGGACTAAACAAGTCAGCAATCGTCGAACAATTCCGTGCTAATTTCCACGCGCTACATGGAGGGAGTATAACATGCCACATAATGGATGGACAATATTGTTGGACGCGAGACGGGATGTCCGTTGACCAGACCGTTAGAAAACGGTTGCCGATGTTAGTTGACACGACAATTGAAGTAGTATGTAGCCGCTGGTTAAGCATGATAGGTTTAACTACCTTTTCAATTCATTTTCACTTTTACCATAAACTCCAGAAGCCTTTCAACAAGACTTGCGAAGCCGATTTCCCCTCTCCTAGCCAATGGCTAATCATTTAGACTAACAAAAATGACAAGCCCTTGGCTAGCAAAGCACACGAATTTGACTATTAGTTGGAAATACTACGTGGTTACCTACTTCTAAAATTATAAATTGACCTTTTGTTAGATCATGTTCTTGTATCATAAAACTATCAAATATTGAAGGTTCATCTGTCGATTTTAAATTATCTGAATATTCGTAACTCCCATGCTGCAATTAAAATAAAACGATTTGCATTTAACATTGCTTGGACGATGTTAAATGTAAACAGTCTCATAATTATTGCACATTTTATTCCTTTGATTAACGCTGTATTTGTCAGTAGGTTTAAATATTGTTGTTGCTGTAATTCAAGCTTATACAAACCTTTTTTTGTCTTGTATGTTTATAAATGACGCTTTAAGTTTACATTAAATATATAATAATATAAAAGTAGCTAGTTGATTATGTAATAGCTTGTCACGCTATGAGTCACGGGATCAAGCGCAGTGCGCAAGGGCGTGCAGACCGATACCGAGGCGGAGACTAGAGCATGATGTATCTCATCATCCATGATGCATGAGCCTCCTCTTCAAGTGAAATCTTTAGACGCAGACTATCTTTCGCCTTCTCCTCCCACGTCCTAGTGTATGTGCGAATCAGGACCAGTCTGCGCTCCTACATCAAAACCGAAACCACAGTACCGGAGCCGGAACAGTCGCACGCGCCGGCGCTAACGGTGGTTTCATGATGGTGTCTAATTTTATATGAATGTATGAAAAGCTAGAACTCTTGCTTTAATATATTGTTCGCATAGTTTTTTTGAATTACTCTCAAAATTCAAATATTTTGCTTCATAAAAATTAAATGACGGATTCGCCAAAGCCGTGGCTGGTCAAATCATCGGAACCAGGAAGGCGAACAGCGGATACGTCGGCATTTCACACCGGTGGCGTCAGGACGGCGACTTCCGTCGAATACCACGCGGCAAAAATCGCCGGGTGTCGATTGGTTAACATCAGCGGAGCCGGGGTTACCGACAAGTCCGCTGGCTGCAGCCGCGTTCGAAAGTCGTCTAGCTGCAGCGTTAACTACGAGGCCCTGACCTCTTGGCTCGTGCCGTTCCCCACCGGCACCAGGACGCATGGGCGGGCACGCACCTCTAGCTCCATTTCACCCCGGCTCCTCGGCGTTCCCCGGCTAGAAAGGCTTTGGTAAGTGTGCGCCGTGCCTTCCACTCGGGGATATCGCAGTGCTGTGCATGGCTCTGCCGTCGGCAGTTCGCGTGAGGTGTTAGCACCCTTCCCCGTGCCACGATGTTCGTCGGTACAAAGTCGCAATCTGGTAGTGAAAACGCTAATAGACAAGAGATACATGGTAGAAAATGAAGAATGTATTTGCAATGGAGGGGGGCATGAGCAATGCATAGATTCACCATTGAATGGAAGTGTTGCTCTGTTCTGCTTTTTTGAAAACAAAGGCACATCTAGACTCCACAACAGGACCTTTCACATTCCAACAACAGTATCAACAAGCAAGGAATGGTATTTAGCCTTTATCCGGATTCAGCAAGCGAAAGAAACGGCAACATCGGCAGCAGTACACGTCCGTATTCGAAGTCACGGGCGACGTGGACGATATGGTTAAGGGGGCGTTATTCCGCCCCTGTTTTGAAGATCCTTGGCTAAGAGCTCTGCGATACTCGGTTTCTTTTCCTCAGCCCCCTGATTTCCACCATTGTGCATATATGGACGGTGACCACGGCGACGACGGCGACCACGGCCCCCTCGTCGTTCCTCCATTGTTGGCCCATCATCGAACGTTTCGTCGCTCCGAAGATTGAGTTCCTCGGCTCCGGTAGTGCTCATACGAGTTGCAGCCAGAGTAGCCACTGCGACAAACACAAGACTTGCTAGGCGCATGGTGTCAGTTGGCGAGCAGGAAGGAGAAAGGGCGGTTGTGCTTTGACTGTCGAAATCGAAAATGATAGAAGAACGTGCGGACGGACTTGGAGCAGAATGTTACGTCTATCGTTGGACGAAGCGCATCCACAAAGAGTAAATTTTCGCAACCCTCCACAGTGCAAACCTTCACCGGACACATCCCGTGCCCGGGCGCCTATCCCGCCGTGCCGTGTACATGACGTACGTGCGGACGCAACAACGCTACGAAATGTTTGAGTCTTTGTCAATTGTACTTCAGTAGTGGTCTTCGTTCGTAACAAGTTCAGATGACTGGTCCATCGAGAAACCACGGTATGTCTGGCCTATAGACCACACGACCAGGACGAACAGGATGGATCACCATCTCGACGTGTCGTCGTCGTTTCAATGATGAAAGTTCATCCAAATAGAGCTCAATGACAGGTCAAGCCCGGACAGTTTATGATGATGATGATTTCATGACCGTCTATTAACATATGATTATGCTAAAGATGTCTGAAAACTTCTAAGCCAGGACAATAGCTCCGGAACTGGTAGCTTGTCGTGGCTGTCACCTAAAGGTATCGGCCCATCCTGAGGTTCGAGAATAAAGAGGTCGATACAGGTATGCATGATAGCCCCGGCGACAGCTGTGGAGGGACCGCGATGTTTGCGTTTCGCTAATGCGGTAAGATGTCGAATTCCCAGCGCCCAAAAACGCGCGGCGCTGTGGAGAGGCGTCGACTGCACTCCTCGAAAAACCGCGTCGTTCCGCTCATTCCATAAGTGGGTCAGACAAATGCTGCTCAGAATAAACCAGAGACGCATCCAAACCGCGACACCAGCCTCTAAGTCCTCCGGGAGCATATGGTAAATCCGAAGACGCTGCTTGGACGGTTTCTCCGGCGCGTGACGATTCACACTCCCGACGAACCTACGCTCTCCCCACGGCCTCCCAGCCCGTTCACCTGTCCAATGGGTAATGAGTTGACCCCAGCACGCGCGCGCCTTGGGGCAGTCCCAAAAGATGTGAGCCGGCGTTTCTTTGCAACCGTGACACGCCGATAACGCCCGGCAACTATTGTCCGCCGGACGGCCGGCATGGTACAAGTTGAGTTGCTTGGTGGCTATACGGTAACACGTCCAGACCTGATGGTCGGAAAGGCCTTTGGCATGCTTCCAAACGTGTGCCGGGTCTTGGTTTGCGGCAGCCCGCTGCCACTGATCGAAGTCACAGACGGCGTCCAGACGCCGCACCAGCGGTCGCAATGCGACTGCAAGAAGTCTTTTGTGAAACGTGAACGCCAGGCGTGAAATAGCTTTTCGTATAGCTAAATTCGCGACCGACTCGGCGACGGCCCAAGGAAAGCCATGATGCCCGGGATGGGAGTAAAACACGACGCCGTGACGACGCAGGCGTAGGTCCCAAATGGATCTGTCCTCGTCCGAAGTAGTAGCTAACTCTGGTAGGTGAGAGGTGAAAAACCAGCGAATTCCATCCGCACTCTGCTGCAGTTCAACAGGCTGGTCAGCGACTTCCAAGTACCCCTCTCGCCTCCCGACCACTCGACCTTGTTGCACCGAGGCCCAGGTCCATTCATGTCGAAAAGGTGGTGCATGGCGAAGAACCAGCTCAGGTTCGAGCGCTAATTCGCCCCCAATGGGAAATGTAGGGGATGCCAGCAAGATTGCCGTCGCCCACCGACGGAGTTTAGGCTGCGAGTGGTGAATAGATCGGGGTTCAACCGGCTTAATGCGAAAAATAAATTCAGTTGGCCCTGTTCGCCGAATGTGCAGGTCCGAGATGGGGCAGATCGCGATCCGGTCGTAGGTAGCGGATTTTAACGGAAGGCCATTGCCGTCCTGGATCCACGGGTTATTACTCCAGTCTAGTGTCCCCCAAAAGCGATGTAGCGCACACTGTTGAGGATCGAGCGCAGGTAACCCAGCCGGGAAAGGGTGATGATACGACAGAACCCATTCCTCCTCCTCCCACCAGCTACTGGCGCCGTGGAGGACGGGGTGGTAGTACGTTCGTACCCGCTCGCTGAGTATGGTGGCTTGCTCTACCGTAGGGTGTAGAAGCTTGTCAACGTCCGGTACCCATGAATTTGGGGACGGTGCCCCGACACACGATGCAGCCCCAGCTGCCTGCGTCCTGCAATGGAGAACCAGGCTCGATTTTGTCGGCCGGCCTTGATAAGCCCACGCACTCCAGGCTCCAAAATACTTGTCCTGAGCTTGTGTGAGCCACTGTAAAGCGTGCTTGGTACGCTGCGTTTTAATAGCCACTTCCAAAGAGGCCAACCCAACCCCCCCTGCCTTTTTGGGGGTGAAAAGTAGTCCCGGGTTAATCTTGTGTCGGCTGGCTTCCGTTGAAGTCGCATGAGCCCATAAAAATTGTTTGTACAGGTTGTGGACAGCAAGTCGTGCCCACTCAGGCATATCGAACACCGCCGCCGTGAACAGAACAGACGGGAGAATGATGGAGTTGAGGATCAACACCCGATTCGCCACACTGGTCGCCACCCTAGAAGCTGTCATTAGCCTCCGTTGAAGCTTCCGGATGCGAAGCGCCCAGTTGCAATTGTGTAAAGGTCTCAATCCGACTTGATAGCCCAGGTATCGCACCGTGTCCGCCTGTTGAAGGACCGGAATGCCCCGCATGTCGGCTACGTGCACAGCCCGATTAAGACAAATGATCTGACTCTTGAAGGGTTGGGCAACTAGCCCTGATAGGGTCCCAAATTGAGAGAGAAGAGCTATCGCTGGCTCCAGCTGACTGGCCTTCTCGAGAAAGATCGTCGAGTCATCCACAAACGCCGAGAAAACGTGCGTTGCCGGATGTCGTCCAGGGACAGGAAGCCCAGACAAATCTGGTGATTGCTGTACCGCAACGCCCAATATCTCCACCACGACGAGAAAAAGCAAAGGGGCGAGTGGACAGCCTTGCCGGATACCGGAAACGACGGAGATGGGACGAGACTGTTCCCCATTTACAAGGAACGCGGCCGTAGTACCAGTATGTAGTCGAGTAATAAGCTGAACATACCTTTCCGCCAAACCAAATTGGCGAAGAGCCTCATACAGGAATTCGCGATCGACCGTGTCATAAGCCTTGCGGAAATCCAGTAGGAGGATCACTCGGCTGTCGTCGGCGGATGTAGTTGTATCCGATGTTGCTGTCGCCAGTTGAGCGAGCATCATCAACACTAGTTTAGACATCTGACGTCCGTGTACGAAGCCTTGCTGCGAGTCACCAATGAATTTTGGTAATACGCGTTGCAGTCGTGTGGCCAGCACTTTCGCAAAGATCTTGTAACTGGTTTGGAGTAGAGAAATCGGTCTGTAATCCATCGCATCCGCCGAGTCTCCCTTTTTACGCAAGGGTATGATCAAAGCTTCGAGAAACGAAGGCGGGGGATCAGCTCCAGCCAAAATTTGATTGCTGAGCTGGACCAGGGCGGGGACAAGAAGTGCAGACGTATCCTTGTAAAAATCGTTGTTGAGCCCGTCCAGTCCCGCAGACTTATGTCGACTGAGCCCAGAAACGGCTGCAAGGACTTCCGCTTCCGAAAAAATCAGCCAAGAGAGCCCGGTTGTCGGCAGAAGACAAGACCCGGTCTGTGGGTAGATTGACAAAACGGCGAATGGCTGATGGCAAGTCCACTCTCTCCTCCTGGCAATGAACTTTGCCAAGGACTGTAGACCATTCGGAGGCAAATTTATCCGCGTTAGTCATATCCCGGGTAAAATGCGGGCCGTGGATGCGCGAAATTGTTGTGACTGTTTGATTGCGTTCCCAGTCGGCAACCCGCTTGTAAAAATAGCGCAACTGGTCAGCCGTCCTGGCGAGCTTCTGGCCCAGTCGCACCAGATGTTCCTGCCGTAATTCCTCCATATTGCAGGAGATAAATTGCGGCCGGGTGAGGAGAGGTCGCCGAGCTCTGCCCTGAATCTTCCGACGAAATCGCGCTCTGCGCTGTTTGACCCGCTTCCGGATGCGTCGAACGCACTGTTGACACTCTGTGACATCCGCGTCCCAAGTGAGGGTCGAAACGCTCTGACCTATAGCCCTTCCGTCCATTTCCGCGACGAGTTCGTCAACGATCCTGCCAGGGTTCGATAAATGAATCGGATATGTTACACGCCCATGCCGGCTTGACGGACGAGGTTTGTTCAGGTCACGTAGGTGTAGCACAACCTCCTGATGGTCCGACTGATTTGATGGCACCCGCGCTTCAATCCACAGCACGCGACCTACCCACCCCTCAGGCACATAGAAACGATCGATGCGACTGGCACGGTCCCCATTCCAGTAAGTGAAACGGTCAGTAGGATCGCCAGTGCCCTCGTCATCCGCATGATCCCGAAGATCTCTCGCATCCGCCAAGCCCAGTGTCGCAACTGCCGCGTCCAGGGCAGGGCTTTCCGATCGGTGCGATCGGTAACTGCCGTACCGATCGAGGAGAGGGCACTGGACGCAGTTAAAGTCGCCCGCCATAATAGTGTTGGAGACCATCAAATTCCAGCTGAGAAGGGAAGTAAAGAAGTCCTCCCGTTCACCTCGCAGTGTAGGTGCGTACACATTGATCAGAACATCCTCCCCAATGGAAATTGCGATCGCCCGGGGTGACCAGCGTTCCGGTTCCCAGGCCGAAGCTGTACGAGCAGAATGAGGGGTAAGAAGAATGGCAACACCAGCTCGGCTGGAAGAGCCAATACTCCAGAACGATAGAGGAGGAGCGTCAGGATCAAGGTGTTGACCCCATAACTGAGCCCACCTGGAACTCAGCCTACCTGCCTCTTCGTCAGTATGTACATGCGTCTCCTGAATACACCAAGCCTGCGGGCGACGGATCTGAGGCGCACCCCGCCACGCCGACAACCACCCTTCCCGAGCGCTAGCCTTGAAGCCCCTCACGTTTTGGGAAATAAAGAGCCTGTCCCCACCCCGAGAATCCAGTGAATTAACTGCTGAAGTCCAGGACGGAGACCAGTTTTGAAGTTTGCGATGCCGGCTGTAGGCGTCAGCTTCCTCCCAGAAAGGAACTTCGGGGCTGAAGACGGAATTCTGCCGTAAGCTGCCCTTAGTACTCGAGGAGGAACCTCTGCTCTGCCGGGGCCAAAGCAGTTGTAAAATAGCGAACGAGCGCAGTCCAGTCGATCGGAGCATCCCCGTCTGGGTAGTACGTATCCTTGTAGGTACTATTGGTCCGAAGTAAGCGAAAGTGGCAACGGAGTTGCTCGGGACGGCGTACTGGCTTTCCGCCAGTCCCCGTCAGCGCAAAAATCTCGTTGTCGAACACGATGGCACACATGAGGTGGTGACTCATTCGGACGCGTCTGTGCGGGTCACACAATCGTAAAATGTCGTCCCCTGCATAGTTAATCCCTCGCAACTTTCTCCAATCGTCGGAATTGTCAATCAGAGGGGCCAGCAGAGACGGCGAAAGGCGCTGCTGCGATCGAGCAATCCATTGGTCGAGCCAAACACCCGTGGGTAGCTCTGTCACTCGCTGTCGGAATTCTAGGAGCCTGGATAATAAGCACTCCTGGCGCCACAGCGCCGTCCACTGTACAAAAACTGTGTCGGACAAGCTAGCAAGTACTTCGTCTGGAAAGACGAAGCGGCGCAAGTGATGGAGTAACAATTCCGGCTCCAAACGAGCCGTAGCCTCCCACCCGTTGGAGTCTCCATATACTAGAGGATACGGTGTTGCTGCTGTTGTCGGCCATTCGGCTCCCAGATAACTCCAGAGCTCCGGCCATTCGTCCCGATCGATTCTGTCGTCCGGCGCGTCTAGTGAAGAATTCCGTAGGGCTGCACGAACCCGACCTTTCTTGTGGCGAGAGCCGATCGGAACGACGGCACCTGGATCCGCAGACGCCGCCAGGAGCGGGGGAGAGCCGCCGTGGCCCCTTTTCCGCGCCGCAGAGGCCATCCCGCGTTCGCAACAGCTGTTTGAAGTAGAAGTTAAAGCCAATTGACAAGAGGGTTGTGCCGAGGTTCGAGCGACCACGTCTCCAGCGTCGTAAATGACGATCGACGTCCGGTCACCGCTGTCTGGAAGGAGTTTGTCGTCTGAGGGCAGTGCTGAAGCGCTCCTCCAATGGTACCAACGATGTGGCTTTAGCGTCCTCGAAGGAGTGGACCGGATCCTGCGGCGACGCACTCGGCCCGTCCTGGGTATCGGTAAGGTTTAACGGATCGGCCACTCCCGCTGAATGGAGCAATGCCGAGTAGTGGCTGCCGCCAAACCGCAACACGAACGGTAGAGCCTGGGTCGCCCCGACTTTGGTAGCCTGCAGCTCGTCGATGCACGCCATAATAGAAAGGGGGTACTCTTTTACAGAAGCCACCGCCCGTCCCCGTACAGTCATCGAAACGGGGTGATACTTGCGGCAACGCCACTGAGGGGTGGCTTCCTCGCGTTGAACGACAAAGATGTCTCTCTGTAAAAACGTGGCTGCCATGCCGAGTGTGTCACTGCCCCCCCAACAGTCCGTAGACACATGCGAAGTTCGCCCCGATGGGGTGGCCGCAAAGTCCGTCAAAAACCAGCGGAATTGAGAAGCCGACTCTGTGCGCGTCATCGACGCCCACCCACGGCCCACGTTCTTAAGTGCCTGCACCCGCAAGTCGTGAGGGAGCTGATCCTCCAAGTTCAAGAGTCCTGTACACGTGATACCTCGTTTAATGCAAGTCGTGAGAAGCTCCTGGTCCTTGGCAGGGGCGGTCAAGAAAGACTCAGCCACCGCTTGAGCAAGAGCTATCGCCAAACAATTGCCGTTCGCTGGGGTGTTAATTTCCCGAAGTCCCAGAATACTCACAAGCTCGCCCATGTGGATGGGTTCCGCTGGCGGCTTAGGATCCATGGGTATCGAGTGACATTGCCGATCCGGCAGCAGCTTTAAAAGCTTTTCGCAAGTCAGACGTTCCCGTTGCTGCTGGGTCAGGAGAGCCGGACCCGCGGTAACTACCGCCGGGCCCCGGATACCGGCTGCTTGTTTCCGGGCCTGATCCTCCGGCAGAAGCCGAGAGTGGGACAGCCGTGCCGAAAAAGCAGGAGTCGAGGAGCCTCCCGTCCCCGGCTGCGGAGGTGCAGAGGCGACACTGCCTTCAAATGGGGAAGACGGACCCTCCTCTGCCCTATCATCCTCCTGGAGAACGTGATAACTCCCGCTGCTGTCGTTCAGCTGAGGCGGGGAAGGCTGAACTGGGGGCCAAGGCCGACGACCCCCTCGAAGGGGGCGTCTCATCCATGGCTGTTCGGGCCGGGGTTTTGGGGCCGGAGGAGGCGGGCCCTCGTGCGCGACATGAGTATTATACACCGATTGGATAGGTATACCTGTTGGCTGGGGCTCGGCGGCCGGCGGTGGACTGGAAGTGGCGACCGGTACCGCCGGAGTCACCGCAGCTTGTGCCGCTGCATCGGCTGATTGCTGCACAATCAGTCGTCGCTGCGCCATTTGCCGCATTTCATCAGGGCTACTAAACGGTTTGATGAAAGGTGACTTTCCAGGCAGTGGACGTACGTGAGTTCGGGGTGCAGGTATCCATATCCTCCAGCTCAAAATCCGTTGGTATCTTGTAGCGGAGGTAGGCAGCAATGCGCCCAATATCATCAAACGGGTGAGATTATACAGCAAAATGGTGTATGCTGCCCGAGGGTGGCTCGACCGCCCGTCTGGTCCCCGCTGATTCAACCAGACCGAGCCCCTGACCGGGTGATGAACATTCTCGAGCGTGTACGCCCTCCCCTGAAAAGGCACTACGACATCCTGGTGCGCCTTGGCAATGGCTCGCGTAAAGAAATAGAAGTGGATTGAACGGGTAGAACGATTGTAGCTTATCGTCTTGGCCAATCCGAGGAAATGGTGAAGATCCGGCAAGCAGACCCGCAAGATTTCCGCCGATTCCAAAATCTTCTCCGTAATAGCGTGGGTCGTCCGGCGTCCAATTGGGATATCACGACCATGTCTAAGTTTTAATACCAACTGTCCCTCGACCTGCGCCTGAACAGTCCGACACAACCGAAGCCGCTCGTCGCTGTCGAAGACAGAATTGAGAAAATCAGGCAGCCGACGACAGGCAATAAGCCCTTCCGCAATCCCAATGATGATGCGCCATTCATCATCTGTACCCTCGCGCAGACGGTGAGTACCTGTCAAGTTAAGGCGCGTTGCGCAAATGGCTCGGAGCGTGGTCGTCGCTTCCTCCGAAAAATGTGCCGGATCGAACATAAAGTCATCGAACACGGTACGCTGCTTGCCTGTCGTACTGGCAGGTGCAGCAGCACTGCCTGTCTGCACGACTTGAGACCACAGCCGCGGGATTGGAGCCACAGCCCATTTCTGTCGGCTGGCCAGCTTGCGCAAGATTTCTTTGAACGCCCACTTCGTGACGAGGATCTCCTTACTGATCTGGTGGGCTAAACGGGTCCAGTCGACGTAGCGGCCGGATGTCACAACAAAACACTGCTTAAACAAATCCAGCAAACTCACCAGCTCGGTACTTGTGAGCTTGGGATACCGTTTGCGTTCGGCCGGCAACGCGTCGAAGCTGACTGGAAGGCGGGCAAATTCCAGCGCAAATAACTCCTGGATGGTCTGGCGCCAGACATCTAGGTACGGGGGCCCCGAAGAAGCCTTCATCGCCGCGGTAAGGGCCTCAAACATGTCGCGCGGATGAACCGGGGGCGTGAAAGCCTGCGAAGGCGACGAGGAGGACTCGGAATCCTCCCCCGAAGCGCGCCCGGTGGGTCCGTCCAGCCGCGGCGTTACTGCATCCGTCTTGCCGCTACGCAGCGGCTGGTCTGCCATGGTGAAGGAAGCATCCCCCGCCAAGCCTGACTCCATAGCCGCTGAGGAGGTCGGCAGCTGAGAGTCCGCGAGAGGAGAAGATGCGGCGTGCGCTGAAACCCCTGTCCCGTGAGCAGAAGATGCGGCGTGTACTGGAGCCCCTGTCCCGTGAGCAGCAGATGCGGTGTGTTCTTGCGCCCCTGCCCCGTTTGCAGAGGATGTGGGGCTACCAGCGGAGGGAGAAGGAGCCTTCTCCGGAGGCCCCGCGTCCTCCGGTAAGTCGAGGGCCGGGCTAGAGTTTCCCGGGTCGTCCGGCTGGCCCCTTGGCAAAGCCGCGTCCCCCCCCTGTCGGGAGGGGGGCATGGTGGCGGCTCCAGAGCCGTCGTTCGAGAAGAGCTGGCTAACGCCAGTTCGCGTCCTGTTTATACTCCCCCACCCAGCACTGCAGATTGAAGAGTGAGCCCGGACAGTTTATCTACAGATGGTGTGAGCAATCGGTCGCAGCGATGCATTCTTCAACCATGTGTGATCCGATTCAACGATGGGAAAAAAACTTCAAGCAGTGGGCTACCAAATGAGCGATGCTATCCCGTACTTTGATTTTTGCTATTCCGTACTATAAACACCGTCAAACGTTTTACGAACAGCTAATTAGCTTAAACGTTAAATTTTATCTGAATTATGCTAGATCTAGAAGGTCAGAGGTGCGGAGATTAAAGAGCTTCCATTGCCTGGATTTAGTGAATAGCTTCGCGGACGGATTGGACATCTCCCACTGGAAAATTGCCAATGTCCAAATGTATCTCCGAAGCACCACGTGTTGCTGACTCGTCTAGCTGAACCTGGTGTGACGAAACCTGCATCCGATAGTCTACCGAAGCTAGTGTTCCAGCACAAACGAGCTGCTACTTACTGGATGCAACTTTGATTGATATTGCAGCGATTCCAGTCAATGTGCTGGCGAACACCATCGTACAACTTGACTCGGTGTTGGATTGCGCTCATCCTGGCCATCATCTTCGGCCTTATTCTCGTCAACGCCGACCACACAACGTACCAAGGGCTGAATTTGGCCGTGGGTATTAATTTCATGACAACAACATAGCAAGGATTTGTGACGTACGTTGCTTGTCTACCCTCCAGCCTGCGGTAACAAGCCGTCTACTACCGCGAGTGCAACACGCAGACGTTCAACAATCTCTAACACATCCTTGGCATCACCTTCGTCGAGATTTCGTACGTCTTTGGCAGCAGTCTACTCATAACCATTGCCTGCTTCCCTCTCCTCGGCATCTGGTCCTTTAACACAGCTGTGCTCTACTAGCTCAACATCTCCTTCTCCGTGCTCATGCAGACGCTGTAGCTGGACCAGCTGCTCGTCTACTTGGTGTCCAGTGGCGAAGTCGTTGCCGTTGTGGGCGTCCTCATTAGCGTCATGTTCCTGCTTCTTGCTGGGTTCAACCCGCCTGCTGCTGCCGCCCGGACTGTAACCAATGGCTTTTTGACGTCACTTTACAGCGCTGTTCCCTCTCATTCCCCGTCTTGCTCGTGTTCGGCAACTGTCCTAAAGACCCGGCGTATGTTGAGGTCACGAAGGAGTACACCAGCGTGCGGTCGGAACCCGCGTGCTAACCCCTACGGAATGCACTATAAAGCTAGTGTAAAGGGTGACACACAGGGAACTAAATCCAGTTAATGGAAGCTCTTCAATCTCCGCACCCCTGACCTTCTAAATCTAGCATAGTACAGACAAATCTAACTTTTAAGCTAATTAGCTGTTCGTAAAAACGTTTGAGGGCGTTTGCAGTACGGAATAGCAAAAATTTAAGTACGGAATAGCCTTGCCCCTACCAAATGTCTCACATTTGTTTTGTTCTCAAGCGACCGGCGGGCAATGCGATAATAGGCATCGAGGCTTTTCAATGACTACACGAGTCACAGTCTCATGTCAAGTTGTAAAGTCAATAGCTATGACGTTTCAAGCATTTACACCAGTGGAGAACCCTCCCACATACTGTATGAGCATAGACTCTTCTTCGCCTTTAGGTTCTCTCCTCAAAGCACACAGTGAAAAGACTCATGCATGGCTTTGGATGTGCACATTTCGTAAGCATGTCTTTTGTGCTCTTTTTCTTGTGGTACTTGCGGATGGAGTTCTGTATGATGAAGTGTGACATGCATCTGCCGGTCTACTCGCAGCTTTAATCATTGACCAACTGTTTGACACGGTTCAACGGGTTGCAAAAACGATTGAATGATCACACGAGGTAAGAAAGTTTTTCGGTACGATATCGTATGAAATTGATAGTTTTGTCATGCTCAACGTGTCAATATATCAGCTCCGATGTGTGAGTACGTGAGCAATGACACATTTCACGGTTCGCATGGACGATGGCACTTCCGCATAATTCAATTGCATGTTACCATTATGCTTATGCATAATCACGAGTTACCTTCGTGCATGCATTGCCTCTCTAATCGCTGCAGCGCTGTTGTCATTTTGACTCGTTCTTTAAAGTTGTCGAAAGGTAATATTTTTTATTATGGTAGAGGCACTCAAAACTAGCATATAAAAGACGGAACGCTCACAGCAGTGTTAAAAGATGGCAGTTTGTAGATCTGATGCGTCTTGCACAGCGTGACGGCAGTCGACGATGCTGGAGAAAACCAAGACGCTTAGAAGGGCATTCTTCCCACGACAACACACAGGGCTCTTCATGTTATAGACCACTCTTACCAATTTGTTTGGTCTATTCCCAAATTCTGTCTCAACTTTATGGTGTGTACATATCTGATCTTGCTACAGGGCGTATTTATCATAAAAACATTTGTAGCGCCGACAGATCAATGCCATTATTGCTTGGTGAAATCCGTAATACTGGAGTCTGTAACTCGGTGGTACTGGGTGCTGATTGAGCTCGCAATATCGATGGGCCTCAGCTGAACAATTCTAAGCTGTCTTTTGGGCTTGAATTGAGTACTGCGGTCATACTGCGCCTCCGGCTAGAAGCCTTGTATTTATTGCAACAACAAGAATGCCATGACACTGCTGCTGGCATGAGAGCACATGAAAGCGATGAACATGCTTTGTAGTGCCTCTGCATATGACGAGAGCAGATTGAATACAACGTAGTGTGGTTTTGACTCGCCGTTCACTTCGTAAACTAAATATGGATAAGCTTGTTCTCTAGGTTATCGTATCTTTCTGCCCCCACCTCCGCGCCGCTTTCCTCCTCCTCGTCGGCCTCTGTAAGAGCGCTTTTCGGTTCACTCCACATTGAAAACGAGAGAGTAAATAATTTCCTCATTTTTATACTACGTGGCTCACTACATGAAGTGGCCCGATCTCATTTTAAGTATCACCGAGGGTATCGCCGTACACGTTCCACCAACTTCCAACATGCACTTGTCTTCGAGCTGAATCCCACCGTTGCTGCAAGGTGTATGATGAGTTTTCATCTCCATACAGTAAGGGAAAGTTGTACGTCAAGTTTCTTTATTCCGCCTATCCTCGTCTCGAGCAGAGGGGTGTTCCTGAAGCACTCCGACTATGTGTACCGTGTCTAGCGATCGAATTCACGTAGATTCGTAACAGCATTTTTGCAAGGTGGTATAATGCAAGATAAAATTACCCAGGCCTTAAACAACAATCAACATGAGGTTGGTGTACAATTGCTGTCCCCATATAAACCTGGCCGGCAAGAACCTTTAACTCACACAGTAATTATGAGGCGTCTTGTCACTAAAAAATACTGTGCGATGTCTTTTGTTGCGAGTCCGAAGGGTGGAGCTATTCGTGACTGTGTCTCATGGTGAATACCAAACTTTTTAAATCATACTTATCCGTCTGTCAGTCTGTAAAAACGCAATGTACCATACACATCGTATCAAGTGCGATCTCGCCTTTCACGGCCTTCAACGTGGATAACGCCGGGTTTACCTTACACGTCAGATTGAGTGCATTTAGACTTACACCGTCTGTAACGGGGTGAATCGTTACATAACAATTTATAAGAAATTGTTAATAGAATATAACTATAAGAGTTATATTCTCAGAATATTGTCATAAGGACAATATTCTGTAGCACTTCCAAGTAGTTCCTAATTGGTTGATATAGGCCATTATATCAACCAACGAAGACGCGCCACGACAGACGCACGCAATGAGTGGTGAGCAGATAACTGATTTACACATTTGTATTTAGACATAGTTAGATGAAGATAAATAGTGATTTATTGCAGACATTAACTATTATAAATACAGTTCTACTTTTACTCTAACCGAGTACTCGCTTCTTCTTACCGTCTTCCTCTGCACGTACGAGTGTACGTGAAGTTACGAGGCACCGCCTTATTCTGTTATCAGAATAAGTAGCTTGTACTGTCACCAGTACAAGCTTCAGGGTGCCCCGTTACACCTGGTAGCACTTCGTAGTCCGTCCAAGGACCGCGTTCACATCCAACATGAATATGTTGGATGATGAAAATGACCAAAGCTTTCACGCTACGCGTGACGGCTACTCCCATTTGAGCGATGTCGAATGGGATGCGGTTGAACGAATGGGTTCGACCATGGGCATCCATGCTGTTAGCGTCATGCTAGAGGCTCTCAATAGAGACGCCCAACATGCTACTATCGCCAAGTTCATCCAAAATGAACTTGACGCTGAACGCGAGAAAGTAGCCTTGCTTCACCAACAAGGTTCTCAACAAGCAGAGTTGTTGAGAGAACAAGGTGCTCAACAGTTTGAACTGTTGAGACAGCAGCAGGCTGCTGCTGGCGGGTCGATGCACTCGCGTCGGCCCGAGACTTTGAAGATTGACATCTCAAAGTATAGAGGGGTCGAAGAAGACTCCCTCTTGAGATGGTTCGTCGAATTGGATGACGCCATAAGGGCGCGTCGCATCGACGACGGGGATATGCAAGTTGCATTTGCCCAGTCAAATCTGGCAGGACGTGCCAAGACTTGGGCACTGGGGCTCAAGCTGCACGACCCATATGCGTTTGGGTCGTTGGAAGTCTTCAAGTCGCGGCTCAGACAAACGTTTGAACCGCCTAGAGCTGAGTTCAGGGCTCGAACCGAACTCTTGAAGCTCAAGCAGGGTAAGCGTGATGTGCACGCTTACGCTCAACATATACGACATCTTACGAGTTGTATAAGTTCCAATCCAGTGGATGAACACACGTTGGTTTCGGTGTTCATGCAGGGTCTTGCGGATGGTCCCGTCAAGACTCACCTGTTCCGGCTTGAACTAGATTCACTAGAACAAGCCATTTCCATTGCGGAGCAGGAAGACTTCAGTCTGAGACAGGCTCGCGCCAGCTCGACATCATATCGTCAACCGAGACGATATGACAACGG